GCAGAGAACTTCAGTCACCCAAGGTGCAAATACGCAAATGAAACTGTTTCAGGAACGACAATAGACATTTGCAAAACATCTCATCAATTCTGTCACAGAGATCCTAGTTGAATTCCAGCTTAACATTGCATGAATTCAAAGGAAGAGAAATGCAGACCGACAAAACCCTTTCTTCCATTTACTAGCAAAATAGTTGGTGGATCTGTAGTAGCACCTCTGTAGACGAAATGTGTAATCAAAATAGTGTTACACAGCTTTTTTAAGACTGTTAAGTGAGAATATGCTTCAGTTAGGAGCTATAAATCATGATGTGGATCTAAACGAAATCGTTTTAACAAAGAAAAACAAAGAAACATTTTTTGCTAAATAAATACTAATTCTTTTTTCAGGTTTAGTTTGTTTCGCTCAATAACTAAATCTGGTAAAGTAATTTGCTCTTAAATGATCACTTTGAGTCAATTTTCTTGGCAATCACCAAGTTCCATAGAACCACCGGTCGAACATTTTTGGACCAACACCAATGCCAAAAACTTACACTTTTTTGAAGTTTTCAGCAATTTGTATAACGATGCGAAGATCAAAAAAACTAAAATAATTAGGTTTGAGCAGAAGTATGGCAACTAGTACTCGACACTGTTTATCTTTTCGACTTCTGAAACATGAAAACAGACATTATAATACAAAGATAGATTCACTCGTTTCCTCAAGAGCTGTCACTGTCGATATTACCACAGAGCTTATAGTCAATGAACATTTCATTCACTTTAATGGTTTCCTCATCCTTCGCCCTCTACCGTCACTAACTCCACTTGTTTATTCTCTGTGTACACTTTTATTCCTTTTTTAATTTCAACACTGAAAGATAAAATCGATAACTGAATGACTACTGATTATTAAATTTCACCGCTGAACATCACATTTTTCCAGTAATATAAGTGAAAACAGTCAAATTTGCAAATAATTTGGTTAATAGACCAGTCGAGGAATTTAAAGAGGAATACTTACGCTTGCTCGCTACCCTTGACAACTGAGACAAGGATTATACAAACAGAAATAATAAGTGGGGTGCTAGGAATACCAACCAGCCACAACAACCCTGCAGTTGCGAGAATCATACAAATTAAAACTGCTTTCCAGCAAATCTTTTTTCTCTTCTTCTCCAGTTTTCTGACACCTTCTTCAATTTCATTGTATGCGCTCTAAACATAGCATCTTGAACAAGATACGCAAAACATAAACCAGACACTTAACGTTTTTTCATTAGTAGTCTTAAACAGCTTGGCATCATAATTGTTTTACCGCTGTACTGGAGACGACATCAAAAAAAGAAGTTAAAAAATAACCAGAAGTTTTCCATCTATACAACTACGCCAACCCTCTAATGAGCCATCAGCTATTTGCTTAATTTCGTGCTGAAATCTTTCCAAAACTTCTTCACGCAAGTTATTACTCTTCAGGCTTACTTCGTCAACAGTAATATTACCCCAGCCTTTGGAATCTGTAAACTAAACTCTCTCTGTCAAAAAGAAAATTAATATTTTGTTACGTGATATAATCAAATAACATAGCAAAAGAAAAAAACGTGTGAAGGTAATTTTGAGTGCCTAACTGTTCAAAGGTCAAAAGTTTAAATTGTTTAAAAGTTATATAAGTCATTCACCAAATTATATTACAAATTACCTCCTGAATTTCTTTTTTGTACTTTTCTTCAAATTTTCTAAACACGGCCATAAGCTTCGTAAATTTTATTTCATTATCTCGAAATACAGCTTCGATCACAGTGTACTTTTTCTGTAACGACGTTATCCACAAGCAACAAAAGCCAGAAATAAAGTGGTGTGGATCACCGTTTACGGTATAACAGATGAACAAGTAATCGAAAGAAATTTCAAAAACGATGAAAAAAAACCTCAATTTGCTCTTCAAGTTTCTTAACCCAATCTGTTCGCAATCCATCAGAGACGGATTGGATCCTTTCTTCAAATTTCTTTAGAGCCGCACGTTTTTCTTTGTTATGCTGTCGCTCTAAAACCTCAAAATTGTTGCCAGCTTCTTCCT